CCCCCGCGACCCTGAAAAGGAGAAGCGGAAGCGAATGGATGGATGGTTTAAATGTGATCTTTCTCCCATTCAGAGTCATCCTCTCTTGCAGCTGAGGAGCATTTTCAGTAGGGCGCTATTTTTAGTTCACTCCTTAGAAGCTGCCTGTATCCTCCTGTACTGGTGCTTCAGAGTGGCATCATAGAGGGGGGGTGGAGAGCCTAAAGCCCCACAGAGAGGTCTGTGGCTTAGAGGATCTGCCTTTATCTGCTCAATCATGATGATATAACCCAAAAAACTTGTGTAGATTGTGGAACTAGTTTATCATCACAGACTGACCCAGTCAAGGGTAACTGCAGTAACTGTGGCAGGACGAAGGGCATTACTATATCATCGACGTGTCCAAGCAGGGTGTTAAATGCTTCATCTCATCTTCATCGATTGTTCTCTTACAACTGCACCACAGAAGGATTCATGACAGGTGCTCTCCCTCTTCACTTGTATCCCTACATGAGGCAGCGGAGGCTACAGCAAAAACAGAACTAGCTTTAGATCAGATTTGCACTGTTGAGATTAAGATGTGCCAGGTTGAACCTTTCAGTGACCACACCCACCCTGGAGAGTTAACCACAGCACACAAACCCTCACACACGCCACAGGAGAACGGGTCAGCACCTGACAGGTCGGTCTCTCCCAGAGGCTTCATGACTGTTATAGTAAAATTCCACGTTAAACCAATTCCCATTAGGGAATGCTGGAAAAAATGACACGTTTGCTCCTAGTCTTAGTTTCCATGCTTCCAAACGCTTGGAAGTTGTGGACTCTGGGTCGTATGCAGCGATCCAGCTCTCATGACCCAAAAAATAATTCAAGGTAGGTTTGAAGTAGAAGTTTGTCTTTGCTTTCAGTCTGAAATGAAACGTGCACAGTGGTCAGGACAGTCAGGGAGGGATCAGCAGGTCAAGTTTATTTGTATAGCACAATTCAACAACAAGGTGATTCAAAGTGCTTTACAGAGACATTAGAAACAAAAACAAATAAAAAGCAGGATTTAAAATTGATTAAAACAAGCAAACTAACTAATTAACAAACAAACAAACAAACAAAACAGTATATAAAATCAAAACAGATAAAATCAGAACAGTAGAAAAAATAAGTAGTTAAAATGTAAGTTTTGAAATTTAAGCTTAAGTGCGGATTTGGTGCAGGTCAGTCAGTGTCTACCTGCATGTGCACGAGAAGCTGATGTTGAATGGGAGATTAGACAATTTTACAATTGGGTATGATTTTCAGTTTTTGTGATAATGCCTTAAACTTGATTGTGTCATATGTTTTCTGTCCGGTCTCATGTTTATTGAAAGACTCTTTTACATAAAATGGCTTAATTTGAATCTTTTAAATCCTAAAATCAGTCGTAGGAGAGTTAGAAATGATTTTTTCTTCTTAGGTCATTTTTCTGTAATATTTGTTAGGATGGCATCTGTGGAGCTCCTCGTTTGTAGAACATCTCTACTGTTGTGTTTTTCACAAAACTATTTTATTATTTTAATGACATTTCTTGTTTTGTATATTTTTGCTATCCTGTTGTTTTTTCTCTCCAGGTGATCCTTGTGTTCGGGATTCATCTTTGGATGTTCTTTATCCTGCCCGCTGTCACTGAGAGGTGATGTCAGCTTACGTCCTGCATTTACTGTGTTATTTGTGATAAATTATGACATCGATAATGATCTGAGTCCCAGTTTTGAAGGATCGATTCTCTATATAAAATAGTAAAAATGTAAACAATAAGTATATGTCAACAGAAGTTTAACATTTTGTCCTCTTTGATATATTAACACCTATATTCATTTATATTTAACTATATAATATGCATATATCTGAAGAGCATCATGAATACGCTTTTGTCAATGATTCAGATGTTTGTAATATTCGTTAGTAGAAGTAGGAAGTGTCCTCTGCTTTAACAAAAATAACTCCGTGGAGGAGTAATGGATAATTGTTGAGCAGCCTCTAACAAGTGCGTACTTTAATTAGCTGCACCTGCTGAACTGTTTATTAACACAAATATATAATCAGCCGTTTCCATGCACACGCTGCGTTTAGGTGTGTAGACATGGTGAAGATGATCTGCTGAGTCTTACAAAGTTGATTCTGTTCATCTGGACTGTTTTCAGTGACAGTTTGAGGCTCGACTGCCTTCGAGCTTCTCCAACCTTATAAACTGTACATTTGCACAATGACCCAAACGGACTAACAACAGGCCGTGAGGTCATTATTTATGGTCGTTAATATGTAGATTGTAATATTCACAGAGAGTTGGGGAATGGATGGTGACAGTTGTACCCTCCCCCATCTTTCTCTGTTTACATAAATGGCCTCCTTGACTCGATTAATATACCCAGACATAACCATCGCCCATTTATCTTTATCTACCAGTCAGGGATCAAATTACTGACCCTCTGACTGCTGCACTCTGCACGTCAGTGTGTCCTCGGTGCAAAACCCCGAGTTGTCCCAACGCATCCATTGAAGTGTGAGGTGTGTGCAAAAGTTAGAGGTGCTTAGGCCTAGAAGCAGTACAAGCCTTATGTGGGAATAAGGTTTGCAGTGAAAAGTGCTTTGAGTGTTCAGTTTGAGTGGAGGAGCTCTATAGAAGAACCATTTACTGCTTCAAGCTCATGGGAAGCTAGCAGCAATGCAAAAAGGCGATTGTTACAATACTGCAGAGCATCTCTGAATACGCAACATGTTAAACTGTGAAGCGGCTGCAGCAGAAGACCACACGGACGCCTCCTGTCAGCCAAGAGCAAGAAACTGAGGCCAGAGTTTACACGAGCTCATCCAGGGAAGACTGGATATCATCCACCTGTGTGCCAGCAGATTCACACCCAGACTCTCTGCTCTGAGGTTACCACCCTGCAGCGGGAAACATCTAAAGACTTTTTAATGGGAAATACAAGTTATGTTTCTAAAACTAAAAAGTGCTACAAAAGAGACTTTTAGACAAAGTATTAAAAAAAGAGCCTCAAAGAAAATCATTGGAAGAAACAGGAAGTGAGATATGGAATCTGACACAGTGACACCAGATGGTTTTCCCGTTGATTTATACAAGAAATTAAGAACAACTTAGCAGCTGCAGGTGAAAGTTGGGGTCATGTTGTTGGACTGTTCCCAGCTGTTCTCTTTGTCTTAAGATTTGTGGAGTGAGTGACTTTAAAGGCGTACAAACTTGTGTATCCCTGTGCTTTACTTGTGTGATTGCTGTGTGTCGTGGCACAGGTGGAGAGCTGGGCCTGGTTGCAGTTCATTTGACTCAGGCACAATTCACAGCACCAAAGCCTAGCACTTAAGGATTGCTGCCTACAATTAACAAACCAATAGCGTTAGGCATGTACAGTGTGTCACTGCTTCCAAAAATATAAGACATAAATCATTGTCTTCTGCAAGCACATTTCTCAGAGACAAATGAAAGAAAGCAAGCGCATGTCAGAGTTAGCATGCTTAAACTAGCTGATGCACACTGTCAGAGCAGCGGGACAGCTGGGCACTAAAAATCCTCTGATGTGCTCCTCTGATGTCTGCAGGAGAGAGTTCATTATATGGAGTAAGGCAGCAGTCTGTCATTCTGCTCCCAGTGTAGTTGGGTCTTGCGTAGCATTGGAGGCCTGCTCTGCACAAAATCCTCAAAGTGATTCTCAGATTCTCTCCATGGATGGATCACGGACAGCCCTGCAAATGCTCCAGGACTCTCACACAGAGCAAACAAGTATCTGTGTTTGTGTTAGACAATTTGGTGCATTTGCTAATGCCGAGGTCGTCCAATACAAAAGAACTGTGTAAAAGTCTCAGGTTTGGCATCAGTGATGTTAGGGACAAATATAAAGGCAATATTCACACAGCTGGCGGGACACACACTGCAAGCGTAGTGTGTTAGTAATGGTGTTCATGACTGTAGTCCCAACTGTAATCAGACTCATTCCTTCAGCCACGATCTTGCATGAAGCTCCAGACTGAGGCAGTTGATGGTCATTTTATAATTCTTCTATTTCTGATCAATCACACACATCGAATGGACCGGTGTTTATAGAGTGCTTTTCTACTCTGCCTGAGCACTTTATACATACAGCCTCGTTCACATGAGCGCTTGTTTCCATGCTTAAGTGCTTCCTATGTAAGATTCACACTCCAATATCTGCATCAGAGACTTGAGGTCAGCATATCCTCAAGGATATTTGGCATGCACATCAGGGAAATATAATATCTCCTGGCTGTGGTACTGGACGTGTAACCAGAGATTTCAGTAAAACGGGTCCTGACTAAACAGAACCTGAACCTCGACATAAAGAGTGACTCGTCAGTTGGATATTTTTTAATAGCCTTTTTGTCTAAATTGTGTTTTTTGTTGTTATTTGTCCTTTGACTCTTGGTTTTGGGGATTGTTGAATTAGCATTATTGTTATGCAAGTCTCACAATGATATGGAAAAAAATTCCCATCAAATTTCCCCCAAAATGCAAGATGTTTCTTTTTTGCACGCTTCTTTAAATCAAATTCAAATCCTGGTCAACGTTGTGTTTGTGCTTTTTGAGTCATTGTTGGGCGAGCACTGATATAACGCAGACTGTGTAGTTTCATCCATCGCTGCGAGGTGCCCTGTAACATTGTTACTGTTTCACAGGTGCTTTATAGCAAACCTACTTTGTCTGCGCCGCCTGTCCAGACTACAATATTCCTCTGCTACTTTGGCAGTGAATGTCAAATGTGTGCGGTCACTCTCTGAAGTCAACAATTGTCATTATTTTCCACTTTCCAACGGTTTTCCTGACTGTGTAAACTGGTTTATGAGCTGTGTTATGTTTGAGCGTTATGTTCTTTCTCTCGTCTTGTCTTAGGATGTTCAACCAAAACTTCGTGGCACAGCTCTGGTACTTTGTCAAGTGCATTTACTTTGGCTTATCAGCTTATCAGATCCGCTGTGGCTACCCCACTCGTATCCTCGGCAACTTCCTCACCAAGAAATACAACCACCTCAATCTGTTTCTCTTCCAAGGGTACGTACACAAAGAAAGTCTGAGCTTCTCTGTGGATACTGGTCTCTGTGTTTGTCTTTGCTCTCTCCGTGCAGCGTGTTGCAGATATCTGTAGGTTCTTAGTCACTCGTGGTAGTTTCGAGTGCTTTCAAAGAAAGCTTGTGGACTTATTTTACATTTGTGAAGATGTTTCCCTTCTTCAAGAACTTCTTCAGTTCTAAAACATCTGACACAAACTCCCAGTTATTTAAGTCCACTATTAATCATGTGAGTCGTCACTTGAGTGTCATTACCGTCACTGGCCAAGGTATGAAAGACAAAACCTCAACCCACCATCATGTCACCTATTTAAGTGAACAGGTGTGAGTGGGGACCATGACAGGGACACACTACAGCTAGAGACAGCTGGGATAAGTTACTGAAAAGCATACGAGATAGAGACCTGACCAAACCAGGAAAGCTTCCAAATGGCTCAGATTCTGCCACATCTCCACCATAGCTGCTACGTCATCACAGACACAGCAACAAGAATTAAGAACAGCTGCACCTGAAGGTTGCAGTGGCCTTATCCATCCAACCGCACCGTTCAGGAAAAGTAAACTGTCACGTCCCTGAGTAAAGGTCAAAGCGTTACCGTGCTACCCAAAGGGAAGGGGCATTTCCCCTTGACCCACTGTTGTTTCAAGTTCAACTGTCAGATTAAAATCACCACAAGAGAAGATGATGCCCCGCAAGCAGCGACAGCAAGAAAATCTTTACTTTACAACAATTAACCCTACATACCCAAGCTACAGCCAACATATGTGGCCTGTCCCTGAGAAGCATAACCTCTTCATGAGTCCAGATTAACATTATTAGTCTTCTTGCAAAGGAAAGACGCACCATGTACTTCATGTATGTTTGAGATCAAGTGTGATATATGTATGTGAAATGGGTCAGGAGTGTAAACTGACTGCGTGTTTGTAGGTTTCGCCTGGTGCCGTTCCTGGTGGAGCTCCGAGCAGTGATGGATTGGGTTTGGACCGATACCACATTGTCTCTGTCCAACTGGATGTGTGTGGAGGATATTTATGCCAACATTTTCATCATTAAATGCAGCCGTGAGACAGAAAAGGTATGAAAGAGTGCAACAAAGTCAACGTTTATTAAAAATGCTCACGAATGAGTCTTTTTATATTACAGGTTGTGTAATAAACATGATTTAGTGCTATTGTTTCAGAGTATTCTTATCTGAACCTCCTCGGTGTTTCTGAGTTTACTGGATGGCTCCTCATAAGCAGTTTGGCTTATTGTGGGACCAGCAATGCAGCTCTGAGATCTGCCACGTTTCTGTCCCTTTTTTCTAACTCGTGGTTAATGACATCAGGACAATAAGTTGTATTTTTAAGAAGTAAGTTAAGAAAATGTGAAACTATTTGTTTTAGTAACAACAATCTCTTTGCCCTCAGAAATACCCACAGCCTAAAGGGCAGAAGAAAAAGAAGATAGTGAAATATGGCATGGGTGGACTTATTATCTTCTTCTTGATCTGCATCATCTGGTTTCCCCTTCTCTTCATTTCATTGGTCCGATCTGTCGTGGGTGTGGTCAACCACCCCATTGACGTCACAGTAACTGTCAAGCTGGGTGGATATGAGGTAACACGATCTTCTTGTTTCTTGGGTATTGATAAAATTGCTCCAAATTAAGTTGATGTTAATAAATGATTGATTTAATTTATTGTTATGACTTCCTGTCAAACACATAATAATAATAACAAATAATTAACAGACAACAGAAAGCAGAAAACTAAGAACATAAACTGGCACATTTTAAGGCTGTACTGATTGTGATGAGGGATTAAAGTGGAGTTTGGATCGTAGCCAACCCCAAATGAAACTCTCTGGATCACTTTAAGCCCTGGATATGGTTACAAGACAGGGAACCTCTAACCAGTCACAGTGACTGCTGGTTTTTCCTTCCCAGTGTCACATGCTTGCTCCCACGTGCTGTCTGGCTGCTGTAGGGTCCTAACCTTTTTATCCTTCTTTCCTATTTAATATTAACCCTTTAAAGCCGGTTGGAGCAGCACGCTC